AGTAGCTGGAGCTGAGCCAATCCTAAGACAGGAGCCAGGAGTCTCCTCTGGATCTCAGGGGATCCTGGCGCATGCAAGACAAGGATTTAGCCACTAGGTTAACATGCTGGGCCCTGTGTTCAAGTTTGTAAGAAGCCACCGAGTTGTCAAGTGGTAAAGTAAGAATTTACTTTCCCACCAGCCATGAACAGGAGCTCCTGTTACACCACACCCCTCACAGCTCCTGGTGCTGTCAGGGTCTGGACTCGGCCCATTGTATCAGAGGTGGATTGCTTTTGGTTTGTTGCATTTAGGTATTTTCCTGCTGAGATGCAAGGCAGACAGTGTTCTTGTCTCCTGCTTGGTGCGGCAATCATTAATTTTATTTGATTTTAAAAATCAGGTTGCTTATTTTCTTATGTTTGAGTTCTTTGCATCTTCTGGACACAGATATCTTTTGCAAATATTTTCTCTCAGTCTATATGGCCTGTCTCTTCATTCATGAATATTGGCTTCCTCAGATTCAAACCTTTTATTTGAATACAGTCCAGAATATCAATGCTTCTAGGTCCGGCATGATAGCATAGTGGTTAAAGTCCTTGCCTTGAATGTGCCGGGATCCCATATGGGCCTAGTTCTAATCTCGGTGGCCCCCCCTTCCCATCCAGCTACCTGCTTGTGGCCTGGAAAAGCAGTCGAGGACGGCCCAAAGCCTTGGGACCCTGCACCCATGAGGGAGACCTGGAAGAGCTCCTGGCTGCTGGCTTTGGATCGGCACAGCACTGGCCATTGTGCTCACTTGGGGAGTGGATCATCAGATGGAAAATCTTGTCTCCCACCTGGGTGCAGGGTCCCAAAGCTTTGGGCTGTCCTCGACTGCTTTTCCAGGCCACAGACAGGGAGCTGGATGGGAAGCGGGGCTGCCGGGATAGAACCGGTGCCCATATGGGATCCCGGGCGTGCTAGGCAAGGACCTTAACCACTTGCGCCACCGCGCCGGGCCCAATAAATAAATCTTTTAAAAAAAGAATATCAATGCTTTTCTATCATTAATTGTGGTTTTGGTGTCATATCTAAGAAGTCATTTTCACCCAACCATGTCCCCTAAATTTTCTTCCTATGCTGTCTAGGAATTTTATAGTTTCGCATTTTAGCTTCGTGATCCATCTTGAGTTAATTTATAGGGAGATCTGTATCTAGATACATTTTTTTCCTTGCAGGTGGATTTCCAGTTGTTCTGACACAGTGTTTTGGGAAGACTATATCTTTTCTCCACTGTTTGCGCTCACTTCTTTGTCAGGTTCCAGTTGACACACTGCACTGACGGCCAGTCATTGCTGGGTTCTCTATTCTCCATAGTAAATTGTAATGTCAAGTAATGTTAACCCTTCCACTTTTCATCTTGTTCCAAGCTGCACTGGCCCTTCTAGATCATTTGGAAAACATGTAAACTTTAGAACCAGTTAATACTTACAAAATCATTTTGTTTAGGATTGCCTTGAATTTACAGGCCAGGCTGGGGAGAATGGACTTCTGGGCCACTATTGTATCTTTCTATTCATGAACATGGACTATCTCTCCATTTATGCAGTTATACTTTGGCAAGAGTTTTTAAACACTCTTTAAAAACTTCAACATTTTTTGCACCAAAATAAACTTGTCTTTTGGTTCTATTATCATGAGCTTTTTGCACTAACCTCGCACGTGAGTACAAGTAACCAAATACATTGGTCTCATTATTTTGAAAATCCATTGTTAGAACGCCTAAGAATAAGAAAATTAAAATTTTAGTTTCAGTTATTCTTCTATTTTATGCTGTTTCATTATGTAGATGTTTATTTTTGACCTCTATTTTTTTCTTCTACCCAAAGAAATTTCTGAAAACACTTTCTGCAAGGCAGATCCCCTGAAAAGAAGAAATGCAGTCTGTCCTTGTCTGCTTCTTCGCTGCTGAGGGACAAGTCCCCAGGATGCTCAATTCTGGACTGGTTTTGTTCTTCTCAACACCTTACATATTTCACTCTCCTCTCCCTTTCTTGCATGGTTTCTGGGGAGAAGTTGATGTTACCCTCATCTCTGCCCCTCTGTTGGGCATGAATCCCTGCTCTGGCTTCTATCAGGAAAGGCCTGTGCTTTTCTGTTGACGCCCTTGGGTGGCTTACGAGTATGGATGTGTCCATTCTCTTAGCTTCCGGGAACTGTGGCTTGATATCCGATATCAGTTTCGGGGAAATTTGAAGTCAATATTTCAAATATTTTTGTTGTTCCTTTATCTCTTTTCCCTCTAGTATTTCTGCTATGTATGTTTAGATTCTTCGTAATTATCTCATACTTTTCAGATACTTTGTTCTGGGTTCTGTTGATTTGTTTGTTTAGTCTTTTGCGCTTCCTGATTTTCATTTCTGGAGGATTTCCCAAACGGAAGTTTCTTTCCTCAGCTGTGTCCAGACTAATGAGGCCATTAAAAAGTGCAACATTTCTCTTGTAACGTTTTGATCTCTAGCACTTTTTAAAAAAAAATTCCAAGGATTTCCATCTTTCTGTTTATGTTAATAGATACTTTTGCACATTGCATACTTTACCTAACAGTGCTTAGCGCATTCATCATGTTCCTTTAAAGTTCCTAATGATTGCAAGTCTCTGCTGTTTGGTTCCAATGCTCGCTCTGTATCTTGAAACTGTAGTTAGCACCTTTTAGTATTCCTGGTAATTTTCTGTTGTTATTAAAAGTTGTACATGATGCATAGAGTAAAAGGAATTGCTGTAAAGAGATTTGTAGTGATGTCGAGCTAAGGGCAGGGGAAGTGTTTGCAGTCCTGCGATTAGAACTCGCGGCTGAGCGAGGCGCTCTCTGGCCTGCGGACTTCACGAGTCCACTTGGGTGGGACAGGACACCCTGGACGGGGCTGCAGCTCGGTGGTCCCATCCCCCAGGTCCGTTTGGCCCTGATCAAGCCCTAGCAATCTAGAAGAAAAATAGAAGTGTTTCAAGGTGGCTTCTCCCATCTCCTGTGCAGATCTTCCCCTAACATTCACTCCAAGGACCTGGCCGAGCGCCTGCAGGTAAAGCCCACAGCAACAGGGGGACCACCCTAACCCTGCAGTTGAATTCTCAGACTTTCTCATACCCAGGTCCCAGAAGTCAATCAATCACAGTTCCAATTTTCCTACCCTACTACTGGTTCCTAAGGAACTTTCTGCTGTATTCTGCTGTGACTGTCCGGATCTGCCTTTCTATTCCATTGGGTGGACAGCTTTCTGTGTAACCTCATCTCTACTACTTCTCTAAGAGTCGATAAAGGGATAGGATTCTGGAGCAGCAGCCTTAACTGCCAATGATCTCACCACGGAGTGCCTAGGTTCCAGTTCCACCTGGCTGCTAAGATAGACCCAAGGAGGCAGCCATCTGTGCTGACTCAGCCTGACTGATGGAGGCATCTGGGGAGTGAAGCAGTGAGTGGGAGATCTCTATCTTCCTCTGTGTGTGTGTGTATGTGTGTGTGTGCGCGCGTCTGCCTTTCAAATAAAATATATACAGACTTTTTTTTAAAGAGTTACAGATGTATTAGTTGTCCAGCTTTTTACCAGTTGCTTGGATGGAGGAATGCTTTCAAATGCCTCCCATGTAAATGAAAAACAGTTTTTAAAACTTAAACAAGAAAATATAGCAGCACTCATAAGACCTTCACCTCTGAAACAACTTTCCAGAAATTATTTTAAGACTATATTCTCGGCACTCCAAAGATGCTGATAAAAGAGCAGCAGCCTACAAATAGTTTATTCCTCTATTGGAACCTGTGAAGTGTCAGATTTTCAGACAATCGGAAAAAGACCTCTAATATCATTTATTCTCAGATACAACCGTTTTTTAACTGCCTAATCTTACATAAAGCAGATCTGCTAAAAATAAATCCCTTTATCCTCAACTGGGTAAGAATCTTCGTTTGGCAACTCATGTTACCACGATCAAAGAGACTGAAAAAAAAAAATCTTTGGGATGCCCTAGGTATCTCGCAGAGTTCAAAGGTCAGAAAGTTGCAACCCAAATGGAAAGTGCAGGAGCTGAAAACCACTGCAGACTTGACAGCCAGAAGAAAACAAGGCGTGGCCAGGAGCTTCTGGTGGGAGGCATGAATGCATCATTCTGTTTCCTGCTATTTATAGATCATTGATCAAACAACCGAGAGTGACAGACTGAGCTTTAAATAATGACGGTCGGTGGGGGCGGGCAAGGACCTCTCAAAGCCTCTTTAGATAAAAGGAATATCCACTCTTCCTTTTTGAACAGGAAGGCTTTGATTCCTTATTTATTTAGAACAAAACAATACATCATTTCTCCACCAGGAGAAAAGTCTTCAAAGGATCAGAAAATAAGGCAAATGAATGGAGAGCTCTGAACAGGCTCACCGAAAGAAAAGCCCAAAGAATATCCAAGACGCTGAGGACTACTGGGCCAAGACACACAGTTGAGTAGCTAGCCGTGGTTAAAACAAGCCTTTTCAAAGGGCCGTGGGGAGTAATAGACACTCCGTGTGGTGAGCTTGGTAAAAACACCTGCAGTGTGGAAGGGATGCCCAAAGAACTGCTGTCTTCCTGCACCTTCGGTCACTCCTAGTCTCTTGATCAGCAGTGACATTCATTAAAAAAAAAAGAAGAAGGTTGGGTAAATGGTAGCATTGCCATTTTTTTATCAATGTTTTTTTTTCAAATTTCAGGAGAACATCAATTCTTTTTATCATCCAAATAAACCTCAGAAGTTCCATTCTTTCAAAGAAATATTATAATCACTAAGTCATGTGATGCAATGACAATTTGGTCACATTTTGAGAACCGCTTAGGCAGACACGCCAGCCGGAAGCACTGAAAAGAGAATTGTGTAAAATATTTGGCCAAAGGGGCACACTGAACCAAGAGCTGCGTCAAGGTGGCCAAAACTTCAGTAATCACGAACTCCAAGAGTCTCCTTCAACAGAATGCGTTCTACCAGTACAAAGAGACAGCTGCCCCCCATCCGATTCATACCTTAGACAGCTCCATGCCTGGCCCACACTGCTTGCACAGGACGCAGTTTCCGGAGCGATCCCTGAACTCCTGTTGCCTGCAGTCTCCCGTCTCACAGATGGCTACACACAGCTGGAAGGGAAAAGGTTTCACAGTTATGTTTTGGTATGTTGATCTTGGTCTTTTTCTTTTTTTGCAAGAAAAGAATGCTATGTTTGGTGTTGGTTGCATAATAATTCCCGAATGTAAACAACCCAGATATACAATCAATGGGCACATTTTAAGGAGAAAAACCACCTCTTGAATAAAATTCATAAAATGAATAAATCAATGATTGATTTTTTAAATTCCGGAAAATACAGAACTGCTTGGACACTTTACTGAATATCTACAGTAGAAAATGCCTTTGAGCACTTTTTTTTTTCTAATCTAGACAGGATGCAGCCAAGACGAGCTCAGTGGGGATCCCAAAGTCTTCTTGCTACTTAAATAATTCTGAACTTGGAAACATAAACTCATTCAAGAATAACAGACGGCATCAACACATTAATGAAGCAGACCAGTGGAGTCACCAGAACATGCAATTATCCTTCTCCAACATGTTTTCATGGGGAGGTCTTCAAGCTTCTTGACGGATGTAACTTTACTTTGAAACTTTCTCCAAAAAAATGCTCTCTGACAGTTAGGAGAATAGTAGAATTCTTGATGATGATGAATATGATGACAGCCCAACTCTGCAACCTCTACAAAGCCCGAGTCTGCGCTGGAGCTAGGAGCTTGCCTTCTTCCTGCATACCTTCCTTTGCCATTTTGCTAGCTTCTAACAGCAGACTTGAGTTCATGGCACAGTATTTAATTGGAAAAGCCACACTTTGGTAAAAAAAAAAAAAAAAAGTTGCAAGTAATTTTCCACAATATGGATTTTTGCTCTTGTTTTACCTAAAAAGAGCAAGTTCATTTTACGTAGTCTCATCCCATGTAAATGTGCTTCTTAAGAGAGTATTGCATTGAAGCGTTGGTGTTAACAGCATGTCAGAGTTGGTGAAGGCACACTGGTCAGTGTCGTGTCCTAAGCAGGAGTGCCATGACTGACTGTGCGTTTCGTTTCCTTCAATGACAGGAGAAGGACTCTCGGAAGCGCTGGAGGACAGAGACGTTGTTCTAGCTGATGCTAACTCCGCACACAGGGAGTTGATTCTGATGCTCACAATAATGGCCAAGCATTCTGTATAAATTCTCCCACTTCGGAGCATGGGTATTTGTAACTATAGCTGCCACTCTTCTCAACTAAAACCAAGGCCTTAGTTGAACCTCTGTGGCAAGCAAGTGGGAGAACTTCAGGCTGTCTGGGGCTGGACATCGTCTGGGGTTGAAGACCTAATGAACTCCTGCTCCCTCGACTAACTCCTCCTGACTGGTTCTCTTGGAGCTGTTGTATTTTATTAGAGAAGCACAAGACAGTCCCTTCCATGGTCATCTCTAGAAAATTCTGTAGCCTTCCCCCTAGAGCAGCTATTCATTTTTTACCATTCTTAATGAATAGAAAGGAAGTCTTCCTTCTATCCACCCATATCCACGACTCCAGTGTGTCTCCGTTTTCTTGCACGTCGTATTAGATACTGTCTTCAGTGAAAATTCTTAATTTGTAAATCAATACAGTATCTCTAAACTTGAACTTCAGTTCTCTTGAACACCTGCATACAACTTTACGATTCACATAAATTTCAACAATTCTTAGAAACATCGAGTGAGAGCAGCATTGATTAGATAAGTGAAAAAACCGACAAAATTCAATTGGATAGAAATAAAAAATAACACGAAAACAGAGACAGAATCATTTTGGTACTACTTAAACGAATTTTGCTTTTTGCTACATTATTATAGAAAGAAACAAGTTTACTTACCAAACAGCCAAGCAGAACTACAATAGTTAAAAATGTCTCCAGTTCTGGTAGTATTCTTCTGGCCATCTTTCTTCTTTAAGGTATTGTTGAAGAAGAGCTCTAAATCAAAGGAAAAAAAAAAAAAGGAAGACAATGAATTAACATTTAAAAAATCTGAATTCACCACATAATGCTTATCATCTTCTTTATATACCAGGTAGTATATATTAATGCTTTAAAAAAAGAACCATATTGTAAAGAGACACATTAGACAACAAATAATTCCTTTAACATGTAGGCTATGAGAACCAATGCTTTCGCGGCATGCATATTTGAGGAAAGCCTCCTCCTGGCTCACAGTTCCAGCTTATCACCATCTTTATTTTCCACTTCATCCATCAGAGAATTATGTCCAGGCAGTGACTCTACAAATCTCCCCTTTGTATGAGTTCAGAAAAAGACAGCCAACAGAATAACCACTGTGATAACAAGTTTTGCACTGCACAGGTGCAAGTTACCGGCTTTGGCATGCTGCTTTATTTCATCTGGACAATGACGATAGTAAGTCAATACTACGATTCCTGTCATTTCACAGATGGGGCTCAGAAAAGGCGGAGTCGTCTGCCCAAGGTCACCCTGCCAGTTAAGAAGAAATGCTACATGCAGACACAGGTGCTTTGGCTGCAGTCTCCCGGCTCCTGCATCCACAGTGCCACAGTACCCTGGAACACCAAGGACTCTGTTGGATCAAACACTGCGCTTGGGTCTTGGGAGTGTCATCTCCAGCAAGAAGCAGAAAGCTAATGTTCAACACCGGTGAACTCTTCACCAAAGCAGTCCAGAGCAAAGGTAGTGGCAAAGGAAAAAAAGCACCCACTGAAAACTTGTTTACAAGGGATGCAAAGTGGAGGCATGGTCCAGCATCGCAACAACAGATAAACAAAGCCCAGCAATGAAACTGCACCTGGTTGTTTTCTAGAGATCCTCACAATCGGAATAGAGAAGGGTTTCCTTCAAAGTGGAGTGTTCCAGAACTGACAGACACCCTGAACAGCCAAAAACCCTCACAAAATCAAAAATCAATAACAGCCTTCACAAAGGAGGCCGAGCTGCACAGACCTGCTGTCACTGGGGAGCCAAGCAGCCACCCAAGGGTGGGCCTACAGACAACCCTGAGGTTCCTCCAAACTGCCTAGTGGAATTACATTGTCAGCGTGCTGAGAAATCATTTCACTTTTGTGGAAGGAAGGCTCCATTTTGAATGTATTCAAAATTTAAAAAGCAATTTTTATTCTTACTGGCTTTCCCAACCTCTTTGACAGGTCATTGCATACTCGGACTTGATGCATGGAGCAGTGTCAGTATGGAACTGCCCACCTTGGGGACTTTAGAGTTTGGATTTTTTTGGAATAGAGATGTTCAGTCTTAATATGAGCCTTTGCACAAAATAGCAGAAAATAAGACAGATTCGGTTTATACTATATTTAAGCCACTCATGCAGCCAGAATACTGCACCAAAGGCTACACTAACTCCTGGGGAAGGCAGACAACAGTGAACCATGTCTTAACCATGTACTTGACGAGTACACATCTCTCAAGAGGCGGAAATAGAGCCAATCTCACAGGGGTGAGATGAACCGGAGGACAACACAACGCAAGTAAAACACTGAGCCCTGCCCCTAGACCAGAGGACAGATGCTGAGGCTCTCGCTACTGCGACTATGGAGAACACTGCTGATGGGCTGTGTGACTCTGGACCAGTGCCTTAACCCCAAATCTGCCTCCTCATCTCTGATTGGCGCAGAGCGGTAGGCCCCACCTCCCGGGACGGCTGGGAGGATGCGGGAGTTTATTAGTCACATCCGCGCAGGTGTGCTAACAGCTATTGTCCTTCGTGCGAGTGACAGAACTACTGAGGATCAAGGGACTCAGTGCACACGACAGTCCTTGGACACTAAGCTGTTAGATCCACATAAGATGTTCAAAGGGCAGACAGGCCTGCACAAAGCCTTGCAAGACAGAATCCATGTGAAGTCTGAAGAAGACGTGAATAACGCCGAGTACCACGTTGATGCTGTATTTTAGAAGGTGTTTCCCCGCCCCCTTACTATCACCCTCTAAAGTAGACATGTATCCCACATTTGACAGGAGAGAAGATGGACAGCCAAGGGACACAACTGGAACTAGTAGAAACCAAATCAACTTCGTGCCTGGTGACTCTTGGCCCCTCTTCCCACACTGACTGAAGTTTGTATCTATTACTCTGCAGCAGTCAACTCCCATAATAAGTCGTTAACAACAAAACTCCAACCAGAAAAAGCTGCCCAAACCCCAAAACCTACCAGTGTTTACCAGCCGTATGTATATATAGTATACATCACACAACGTATGTATTCAACAATTTTGAGCACACCGATATCAGGGACTTTAAAGAAACTGGTTAGGCTGCAGACAGACACTACCAGCAGGACTGGCGGTCCCTGAAACGCCTTGTAGCATAGCCTGGCAGAAGAGTGTTTTGGAAATAAGTAACTTAGCCAGTGGAGTGTTATGCATGTGAGCTTGGATTTCCTGGAATCAGATGAAATTCTTTGGCATTCATAAAAAGCAGCAAGGATTTAATCAAAGAATAAGTATATATAAGTAGTAATGTTTAAAATAAGAAATCAACCAATTAAAACGTTATTTATTGAAATGTCTTTTTTTTTTTTTTTTTCAAATTCTGGGCATTCAGGGACGGGCCCGAAGACGGATGTCATCCTGTGTTCCAGGGTTCTGTGTGTTTGGAGGTGGCTCAGCAAGCACGGAACACACAAACTGCTCAGATGAGGGCCAGTGGGTGTGCACCCAGAGCAGACAGCACCGCCTGACAACCTAGCATGCAGGAGTGCAGAACCTGTTACAAACTCATGCTTGGCTGAGTCTATCCTAGAAGCATGGAATTTCTGTCTTACCGTCTGCTGTTGAACAACAGAGAGGGTAGTGCTATCCAGAGAACCAGGCAGCCGTAAGAGAGAGAACTGGAACCAATAAAACACAGAGCCAGGGAATCATGGAGCCAGGGTGGTGGTGCAGCAGAGAGTCGGCACCTCATAGGATGCCAGCTTGTGTCTCGGCCCTTCCACTTCCAAAACAGCTCCCAGCAGGTGGCCTAGGACAAGGGAGAATGACCTAATACTTGGCTCCCTGGCTCCTGGTTTTAAGCTGGCCCAGTCCTGGCTGTTGCAGCTGTTTGGGGAATGAACCAGCAGATGGAAGCTCTTTTTTTTTTTTTTTGTCTCTAAAACTCTGATTTTCAAATAAATAAACTTAAAAAAAAAGAGGTAAAGTGTAGCACTGGCAAATATTAAGCTGTACAGGAAGGACATCCTGGGGGAGGCATGTTGGGCACTGCAGGCTGAGCTGCCCCTTGGCATATCCGCAACTCAACTCCGAGTGTCTGGTTTCAGTCCCAGCTACTCCACTCTTTTGATTCAGTCTCCTGCTTACTGGGCCTTAAAGGCAGCAGATGACGGCACCAAAACTTGGGTTATTTCCACCCGGATGCAGTTGCTGGCTTCTGCCTGGCCCAGCTTCAGCTGTTCCAAGTGTTTGGAAAGTGAACCAGGTGGCTGGAAGCTCTCTCTCTGTGTACTGCTGTCTCTCTGTCATTACTGTGCCTCGCAAAAAAAGGAAGCACAGCCCGCTCAGCCTGTTGATGTGGTTGATGGTAAGCAACAGAGGGGCATCTCTGACGGCCTGCTAACAGGGACACCTCTTGCATCCTTGCCCACAGCAGAGGCAGGTTCCCAGAGGCCACTGCTTAGCCAAGCACCATGAGGAGCAGCTCCAGACTTCACCTCTCACTGGCTGGCCGGACCTCTGAGACCAAAAGGTCATTCCACCTGCTGACCTCTCAGCTGTCACTTTCCTCTAGAAGCCTGTCCCCTCTCCAGGCTGTCCATGGTCTTCTGGAATGGCTCTCGTGGCCAGCTCCAGCCCCTGGCTCCACCGTCTTGCTGCCGTAGAATGCAGTGCTCTTGTATGGGCTGACCACCACTTACATGAAATGCTCGCCATCAGAAGTGTTTCTGATTAGAAATTTCTTTGGATTTGGGGAATATTTACATAGACTCAGCGAGGTCTCTAGGGAATGAGACCCAAATGCAAGTATGAAATTCATCGATGTTTCATGTAAGCCTTTACACATAGCCTGAAGGTAATGTCATACACAATTTTTAGTAATTCTACGTGTGACATACAGTTACACATCAAAATTGTAATAATTTTATATACAACACAAAAAATTAATAGTATGAACTTTTTCACTTTGTGGTGCTATCAGATCACAGATCAACGCTTCAGATTTTGTTGTATTTTGGATTCTGGATTGTCGGATTCGAGATGCCCTCCCCGTACTGACAAGATCTGAAATCTTACTCATTTTTAACAACCTCTCTGAAGGTTACCTTTAATTTTGCTGTCAGAATGATGAAAACATCTGCTGTTGGAATTTCAATAATGTGGACTCTTCTTGTAGAATAGATTATAAGATGGTCTTTATTTTTCGTCTCTTAAAAGCTACTTATTACACAAGGGATGCGGTACTTCCACAAGGTGAGCATTATCACTCAGTAAAGCTGCTTTCTCATTTTATAACAAGCTTGCACTCAACCCGTGCATTTTTTTTCTAACATGTAATAAGCTGAAACTTTAAAAAAATTAATGTTAAAATAATCTGCTGAGCTTACCATTTACAAAATCAGCATTGAAACAAAGCCAATGCTATAAATATAGGCGTTTATGTTTCAGCGGTGAAACGCAAACATACTCGGCTTATGAATACTGCTAGTCCCACCAGCTAAGAAAATGAAAAGTTAGTTAGAAATGTAGGATACTACTATTTCCTAATAAGACAATAGCCCCCAGCCACTAGTGGTTCTGTGGGTTAGCCTTCCGTTTCGCTGGGCTCCGAGATGCCTGCACAGCAGGTGACCAGCCCTCCTAGCAGCCTTGGATGCCCGCAGAGGTGTTCTCTAGCAAGAAAGTACATCTTGCTGTTGGCTACAAAAGAGAAAGATTTTCCTTTTTCAAATCAGGAAATCTTT